CTTTAAATTCAACGATTGGATTGTTGAAATTTGATGTAGAACATGAATTATTGAACAAATATCTTCTTTTATATATATTATATATAATAAATTTTTGTGAATTCGAGGATATATAATTAAAAGCATCATGAAATTAAATTAGCTAGAAAATATAGTGTATGCATGGATTTCACTTAGAAGATTTAAAAGTACTTTTACTATCAAAGGTAACAAAATTTTCGTTTTTTATTTTGTGCATTGAAATTTGGAAATATGCGAATTCCAAAGACAGTTTCTCAACTTTTATCTAAACATAGTGGTATTTTTTTTTTGTTAAAACCCTTATTTGGTCCCTTATAATATTTTTTTGTTTCAATTTAGTCCTATTTTAATTTTTGGTTTCAATTTAGTCTCCAATAATTTAAATTATTGCAATTTGGTACTTCCGTCCAAATGATTTAAACGGAGTTAACTGTTGGCCACGTGGATGCCAGGCGGATGCCACGTAGATGCGTAGGTAGATGCCAAATTTCTTGAATACACCTGGAACCAGAACGGCCCGTCTGGTTTCACTTTTGGTGTGTTAATTTTGTACCTGGAACGGGTTGTTTCAGATGCAAAATTTACACACCAATAGTGTAACCAGAGCGGGCGGTTCTGGTTCTAGAATGGTCGATGACTATAGTTCACGGTTGTGAATCGTGCAAGGAAAAAGATCCAAGGTACAAAACATTTCAAACACTAGATTTGGTAATATTGTCAATGGGATTGATAACTTCAATTGCTAAACATTTGGGCTATACAGTGTATCCTTAAGGACGATGCAGTGTATCACTAAGGACAATGCTAGTAGGTTTTATTTCATTATTAGTCAAACTGGAGTGAATCACTTACTACCAAATTGACACTATACTGTCAAGGATGAAACGAAACGATGTTTCCCCTTGAAGTCATTTACGATGTACTCTAACAATAACAACCTGTTCTTGAGGAGGTACAACCTGAATTTTTGTGGTTTAAGGTTTCCCTTCAGCGTTACCGAGATGATTTCCTTTCTCAGTAATTTCTTTGAACTTTTTTAGTATAGTAAATAATTTCTAAACAGCCCCATTTACGTAAATAACTTTTCATGCAGCCCTACTTTGGTCAAAAAGTCATGCTAATGACACATAATACTTTAACTTTATCCGCGCATGCGAGGGCGTGCACACACATCAATGACCCAAAGTAAACTTTCCTAAATCATTTTTTTTTATAAAAAAAATTAGGAACCAAATTTTAATTCTTGCAAGAGGTTTACACAATCATCTTGTAATCCTCCACGTACTGTGATCCTAACATAAGCAAAATCAAAATTACAAGAAAACTTTAAAAATGAATAGGCTGTCTGCCAGGCCATGATTCTATCTTTTCAAAATACTTGGGTGGAACAGCACCATCAAAACCTTCCGTCAAGATCACCTTGTTGTCAGAAATATAAAGCTTCATACCTTCTGAAATAGGATGAAAAAAATTATAGAGAACCAGCAATCAGTAAGCTTATTTGTTGTAGACTTACTTACTATGAAAATAAACAATAACATTAAACATTTCAAGATGATCTTATTCACATTCAGAACATGTTTGGAATATTGTTATATCATACCCTCTAATGCTTTTCTAACATCTAGAAAGATCAGAACATTGACATCCCGCCTCATACCTGCGAAAAATATAGATAAGTAATTGGTAGGGAATAACTGAAAACTACTAAGGATCATGTTGCACATTAGCACTTGATGAGACAAGACCATCTTTAAAGAATTGAAGAAAATGCTCCGTGCAAGAAATTTAACATTCTAAATAAATTTCATAGGGGACACAGTCAAAAGGTGACTTCCAATCCGAAGGCTTCCACCTTCAAACAGATAGGTTGTGAAGTGGTAAAGAGATGCTAATAGATTCAACCTGTGACAGTGATCATTAATAGTACTTCTGAAAGAAATATTGCATTGCTAAATTGAAATAACCATCTATAATGATTAATCATTTGCAGAGAAATGACTAGTTACTAATAAAGCACTAAAGTATAAAGGCATTTTCCTTCTAAGTTACTAACTGATTTAGCTAATAACCCCATATAGACTTTGGGTGATGGACTAATTAGTATTTGAATCTCTTTTATGAAATCCGTTCGATGTACCATGACCTTTGATCAAAAAACACATAAGCAAAGAGAGTAAAAGGAAAAACTAGAAACTGGTCATTTGGATTCCACATTTGGTGCAAAGCTACACTATCAATCGTAATAGACACCTTGATTGTCATTCCTTCTGTATTTGGAAGTTAAGTACCATACTTAATATACCTGAAGGAAAATTAACTTGCCTAACCAAAACGAATCAAAAATATCTCGAGTTAAATTTCAATGTGTTAATAGGATTTATTTTAAATAGTGCATCACATTACCACTAATTACTTCTCCATCTGTCGGTAAACCACAAGAGAAATGAACATGCAATCTTTTCATGCGCTTCAGACCAGATCCTAGAATTGATTCCAAGTTCTTTCTATAGGTTCCATGCACACAAACTGCACAAGTGACAAAATAAAACAAATAAAATAACAATACAGGAAAAAAAATCAAAACTTACAGTATATGACGTGTTAATATCACCATTCAAAAAATAATTTTAAATCATAAATACGTACATAAAATGATAACATTACATTCACAAGTGATATGTGTTGCTATTTACAGTGTTCACCATGACTCAGTCTATAGTAACAAAAGTCAGAATCCCCAATAATTATGTACCTGGAACTTCTTCAGCTAAAAGGATTGGTTTCAATAAGCTTTCAGTTTCAACCGCCTGCAGATGAAAAGTCAATAACTGCATTGTAAGGGCAGATGAACAAAATTGAATGAATTCACAATCGAAAAGCTCAACTTAACATGACAGAGAACATTAATCTAATATTTAACTTTTAAAAATTAGGAAACAGAAGAGTATTAGCGACACGTCTGATTAAGAGCAAAAGACAGACAACAAAATTTAACAAGGCTGTTAACAACATTACTGCATAAAATTTTTCATTCACTTGACTGGGAGAATTTTAAAGATATATTCTATTAAGAGAATATACAGCCAATGGTTAAAAAAAGTTTAGCTCATTGTCAGTAGAAAGAAGAAACCATTGAAAACACCTATTATCAACATTCCTCACTTTTCAAGACAGAATATTGGCTGTTACAATCCCAATTCTAACTAGTGTTTGTTCTGTTTAAACCTCTTGGTGTTCTAGCTCCATCAACCATAAGGCAGTGTCTGTTAGACAGGTTAGAACAGGACAAAACATGTGAGTTTTGTTCTATGTTTGAAGTATTTTAAAATGAGAACAGAACATAAGGTTTAAAATTGCATTACAGAGTATATACCTAATCGTTTTAAGTTCTATTATTTTTTAAACACTTCAAATTTCAAAAGCAAATTGGATATGTCAAGTTGTCAACACTTGATAAAAAGAAATATTTTACCGTTACTGTGTGGCCTTGGTTTGCACGTATTAGTAGCTCCCCATTATCTTCTATCAGGCTAAACCGCTGCTTATTATCTTTTCGAACAGCCTGAGAATAATCAAAAGATGCTTTAGAATAAAATGTTTTTCTTTCAGTTAATTCACATGATAATGATGTGGACATTGCAACAAAATGTTTACAATAATGAAAAAATAAAATCAAATATAAATAACATTTGAGAATAATTTAGAGATAAAAGAGGTTATATAAGCATAAATAGTCATTCAAAGGCAACATAAGCCAGTTAAAATTTAAGAGTAGGTCAAAAACCTGTAACATAACCAGCATGAAAATTCTTTGGATGATAAAAAATAACATCATGTAAAAGTTCTTGGTCAATTTCCTAAATTATTAACTTATAGCAGAATTAGTTGCTCAGTGCAGCAAGGATCAGGTAAATTCTTAAACAGTTAGCCATAATCTGACTGCTTTTACAAGAGAAAGACAAGTATCAATATTCTAAAATTCTAGGAAGTGAGAAAGGATACTAGAAAATCAAAACAAGAAATTGATCTTTTATACCCAATACAATGATTTTTTATGTTTCATAACAATAAACACTACTGAAGAGTCTGCCGAATATAAAAAATATGACAATTTTATATATTTATTTTTTATATTTTCACCCAAATGCTTCTCAGATAATGTGACATAAGAATATAATTACAAAGGAAATGGTACTGACATGGCAGCATAAAAAATGGAATGTGTATGTGTTAAAACAGAGAAGAAAACACATGAAATAACTGACCTCCCTAATATCATCAATAGTGTGTGATCTCAGTGGAATATTGGCAAATGTCTTCAGATTTAGCTTTAGTAAATCATTAACTTTCACAAAACCATCACTCCGCATGTTCAAATTCAATTCAGACGCCATATGTCGTAAAATCCGTGTCCTGCAGATATTAAATAGATAAATTGAGTGAATTTTCTTAGTACATGAATCAAGCACAAAACAGCATTAAGACCTATCACAAAGTTCTTCACTCTGTTGCTCAAATATGAAGGCAAACAATATTTCACACAAGGTTTTCTTTGCCAAACTTCTTTCCACACATAAAAAGAATAAGAATATCCACCGTGTTACAAACAAAACAGCAAAAAAAATGAAACTCACATTTGGCAGCTATAGAGGAAGAAAATAAAAGAGGAAATATTTATGAAAAATAAAAATTATTAGGGTCAAGTATAGCTTACAGGAGCCTACCAAGAGCATCAATTTTGTCCTTTCCTGAGCCACTCCCACCACCACGCCCTCTTGTTCTTTCTCTATCATTTCTCATATCAAAAGCCTTTCCTCTGCCACTGCCAGCACTGCCCATAAAATATCAAACATAAAACTTTCTACTTGATTCTGTCATGGTAGCTACTATGTGAAGAAGTGAATTGATAAGTGCTTATAATGTAAAGCAATCAATGCCACAAACTTATTCATAGTATTGAATCACAATAATGACATAGGAGTTCCATTACATTGCAGAAGATATAATTAAAAACAGAAAATAAATTAAGAACATGAATGGAGCTAGTTAGAAAAGAGATGTAGAGGTAGAAATCTAGAGAAGAGAAGAGGAAGACCCTGTAGAGTACATCCTTTAGACGGAAAAACTGATCAATTTCTTGCCTTCCCTCCCCCCTTTTTTTTTTTTACTGTTTTACATGCCTGAGACACTTTTTGTCCCACAGTTCCTTCTCCAAATCCAATCCACTTCCCTTGTTTTCAGCTATGATTGCCACCTGTCCTCGTAACCAATTTGACAGATTCAGCACACAACTCAACAGTCACTACATTGCCTCACCTCCCCATTAAAATAGACCTTGTCCCCAAGGTTGAATTTAAGATAGTGCTGCCACAGGCAGGAGCACGCTCCCGAAGTGAATTATGTTATTTCACGCCCACGCCCATCTCCATGGAATAAGAGTCGCAGACTTACAACATACTCACTCCATAAGTTGTATCTACGCATGTCTATTACTGTAATCACTCGCAGAATTATGCAATCACACCATTGCAACAACGCGTCCTAAGCAGCTAAGCTTCCACTTACTCTAGTGTTGTACATACCACGGGAACACTCTATAAGATAACTGAATCATTTCCCAATAGATTCGCTGGATCACCAACCATGCAAAGCCAACAAAATGCATCTATTTCACCTCCTTGAGTAATGAAAACATCAAAATGCTCAGAGCATGTTTGGTTACAAGCCTAAAAGTATTTTTAAGAACTTGTCTACTGAAAAAATATTTTGTTTTCAGTAGAAAAGCTCTTTTAGACTGTATCCAAACAGATTCACATTCGGGCATCAATTAATTACAGCCTCCATGAATTCATCCACGACAGAAAAAATACTCATCTCTAATAGAATAATACAGCTGCAATTCCAAATATAAGGAATCACGTAGGTTCTCATTGCAAGTACCTACATTAACCATGATGGAATATCTAGCAGCGAAAAATTGAGTCAACAACCAAGCAACACACACTATATCCATGACATCTAAACCTTTGTTGATTCACAATCCAATTTCCTAAACCGATAAAATATTCTGAAATTCACAATATCTCTAACCCGCCACACAACATTTACCCTTGATTTTGTTCTGTCACATGCTTTCCATTTGATCAAGGTTTGGCATTAATCGAAGACTCAAAATGAAAATAAAACATGCGTGATAACGAAAAGAGAAAGGGAATTCGTAAGTTTCGAGGAAGGAGAGAGAATCACCTGGGAGAGGCGTGAGCGTGGGAGGAGAAGGGATTGGTGTTGTTGCGGGGATTGGCCATTGGAGCGGAGGCGCGGAACCTGTGAAGGAGAGATGGAAAAGTAACGGTGACACGTGGAAGAAAGAGAGCGTAGGTGCGTGAAATAATGATGCTGCTGCTGTTGGTCACCGAAGCAAACATGGATTGGATTGAAATTCTGACGGAAGAGGCGGCGGAAAAAGTTTGAGCTTTTTGCAACGGTGGAGAAATATTATCCCTGCAATAGCCGCTGGATCCCCCAAAAAATCATAAACTGCTAATTAGTCCTTAATTCCTTATACAGTTATACTATATAACCTCCTTTATTTTTTTTTATTAGTGTAAAAAAAACCTATTCTGCCTCAGTATATTTTTTTAAAAAATAACAAAAATAAATGTAGTTAAATACGTGTGAATAGTTATATAAATGATTTTAAGTACTTATGAAAATTTTTAAAATTTGAGAAAATTAGAGGATATAGTAGATGTGAGAAAATTAAAAAATAAATTTATGAAAAAATAGAGAAACTAAAAGAATACAATTAAATAATAAAAAATATGAGAAAGAAATAATGTTTTTGAAACCAAGGAGAAAATAATCGACATAATGGTTATACTAAAAAAAAAAGTGTATCATCTTTATTAACTGTATAGATTAGTTTAAAATGTTATAATACTCATCATATCAATTAGATGAGATTATTTTAATTAAACTTAGATATGTTTTGAGTCTTTCATTTATATTTTAATTTTGGTCTTTATATATATTTTTTTATTTTTCATCTTTTTAAAATTTAAAATTATGATTTTAATTCATATTATTATGTGACCCTTCTTAACTACTTATATGTTTATTATGTGATCATCTAAAATAATATTCACAATTGTCTATGATACTTTTTTCACATGTATTACGGATAAATTTTATTATAAACCCTTAAAACAAGTGTATATACATCTTAAAATAATTGTTAGAGGCCAAAAATAATAACTTTAAATTTTAGGAGGAGGAAAATAATAAAAAAAATTACAAAGAACAAAATTAAAAATTTGCTTACTTTACAGAAACCAAAAAGAAGGTTTAGATATTTTAAAATGATAAAAAATAAAGAAAAAATTTCATAAAGATCAAAATTAAAATTCATTTATTTTATGTAGATTAAAAACATATTTAAATCAAATAAATATCTAATTCATTAAGATCAACAAATATTAATAATATCATAATTTTTTAAAAAATACACATAAAATAATTACTATATTTAATGACACTTGTAATTCAAGAAAGTTTTTTTAAAAATGCATCCTATATTGTTAATATCCCAATAAATTCATCCGTTTTATGGGAAATGAACAAATATCTCGTTAATAAACTTTGCAAGAAATTAAAAGTATGAAAGAAACTGTTAGGCCCATTTCCCAGTATGACCCACCAGACCCATTAAGTGTCAGGAGGAAGTTATTACTTATGGAAGACCCCAAAGGATCCGTAACAAACCACCTCACCTAGACGACTACGTGACTGAATGAATTAGTGGCTACATATTATTCAATGGGCAATTCGGTTATTGTATCCAGGACAGGGTTAACAAACTTTTATTCCTTTTTTCTTTTGTCGCATTGTACGTAAGGTGCATATATAGCACCATGAATTAAGCACAAAGGGTAATGAGAATTTTTACGTAACTGTCACATTTTTCTTTCTGATATCCTTTTTTCTGATTTTCTTCTATTTCTTTCTGAAAACCCCCTTTCATTGGTGCTTTCGTTGTCCCCACAGCATGGCAGACCCCTCTGACGCCATTTCCAAACTTGACAAAAAAATTCAACAAATCCTCCTCGCCCAGGCTAATTTTTTCAACACTTTACATGACATTGCTTCCCGCACGTCCCTTTTGGAATCCAAACCATCTTCCCCACCACCATTTGCAAACCACACCTCTCCTCGACCCATAAAATTTGACTTACCCTCCTTCAACGGGGATGATGCTCTGGGCTGGATCTTCAAAATTACCCAGTTCTTCGAGTTTCATCAAACCCCACCGGAGCAACACACTCAAATCTCTTCCTTCTATCTTGAAGGACCAGCACTGGCATGGTACCAATGGATGCACAACAATGGTCTCCTCACCTCTTGGGACGCCTTCCTTCGTGCCTTGGAGCTCCGTTTTGCCCCCTCCAAGTTCGAAGACCCCATTGCTGCACTCTGTAAGTTGTCTCAGACCCAATTACTTCAAGATTACATCACTGAGTTCGAATCCATTGCCAATCGCATCTCCGGCTACCCAGCTAGTTTCTACCTTAGTTGCTTCATTTCTGGGTTGAAACCACATCTCCGTCGGGAGGTTACAGCTCTACAACCCACCGACATGCCTCAGGCGGTGGCTTTTGCCAAGCTTCATGACGATAAGTCCCGTATTGTCACACCTCCATTTTCCAGATTCTCCAAACCATCCCTGCCACTAACCGCATCCACCCCACCCAAACCGCTTCCCCCCTCCTTCCTACCCCCTCCACCAAAATACCCATCAAACGACTCATTGAGGCCGAAATGCAGGATCGTAGGGACAAGAACCTTTGTTACAACTACGATGAAAGGTACACCAGGGACCACCGTTGCAAATCACAATTTCTCTTACTCGTTGTCCCTACGGCTGACGACATCTCTGATAGTCTTCCAGTGCAGGGATCCCCACCCCCTGATGACCCTTCACTTGAAGCGGGTCTGATCAGTCTCCACTCTCTTTCGGGTCAATGGACTCCACAGACTTTTCGGATCACTGGGTCACTTAAAGGGTACGAGGTCCATATTATGGTGGATAGCAGGGCAACACACAATTTCATTCAATCCAAAGTGGTCCACTTCCTTAACCTTCCCCTCAAGCCCACTTCGAGTCCACTAAAGGTCATGGTAGGTAATGGAGACTTCCTACTGTGTACAACTTATTGTCCTCAAGCCCAAATTACTCTTGCATCTCTGAAATTTCCCATTGATCTATACCCCTTAGACCTCTCTGGTACAGATATTGTGTTAGGAGTGCAATGGCTTACACAAATAAGCCCATTTATTATGGACTACAATGTGCTATGCGGTTCATGTGGGAAGGCAACATGGTTGAACTAAAGGGAGAACATAGCTCCAGCCCCATCCCAATCACTGCCCACCAGTTACGACGCCTACATCATACAAACCGTGTTGAAGCTCTTTTCCAACTAATACTAGAGCCTTCTTCACCAACACTACCCTTACCCCCTCAAACTCAATAGCCACAAACAAATTCCACCATTCCTTCCATTGCCCCCCCCATTCCAATCATTACTCACAAAATATTCCACCTTATTCACCACCCCTACATCCCTTCCACCCTCGTGAAGCACAGACCATTCCATTCCCCTACTGCTCAATACCCCTCCCATTTCAGTTCGACCATACCGCTATCCTTATTTCCAAAAACAGGAAATCGAGACACAGGTTGCAAAGATGCTTGAATCTGGGTTTATCACTCCCAGTACCAATCCATTCTCATCTCCGGTCCTCTTAGTCAAAAAGAAGGACAGCACATGGCGATTTTTCGTGGACTATCGTGCTCTAAACGCCGCCACTGTCAAGGACAAATTCCCCATCCCAACCGTTGATGAATTGTTGGACGAACTCGGTCATGCTTCATGGTTTTCCAAGCTTGATCTCTTCTCAGGATTTCATCAGATATTGATGGTGCCTTCGGATTTAGAGAAAATAGCGTTCAGAACCCATAACGGCCATTTTGAGTTCAAGGTTATGCCCTTTGGGTTGTGTAATGCTCCATCCACATTCCAAGCTACCATGAACGACCTGTTCCGGCCACATTTACGACGTTTCATCATTGTTTTTTTTTATGACATACTCGTCTATAGTCCCACATTGGAGTCTCATCTCAGCCACCTGGAAACAGCTTTCCAACTTCTGCTTGAAAACTGTTTTCACCTCAACGGCTCCAAATGTTCAATTGGCCAGCAATCCATTCATTATTTGGGTCACATTGTATCTCAGAAAGGAGTGCAACCTGACCCTTCTAAAATTCAAGCAGTGCTCGAATGGCCAACTCCAACCTCACTCAAATCCCTTCGAGGCTTCCTGGGGCTTACAGGTTTTTATAGACGCTTCGTGGCAGGTTATGCGTCTATCGCTTCTGCTTTAACTGATTTATTAAAGAAAGATAATTTTCATTGGTCTGATTCTGCTTCTGTTGCATTTACCTCTCTCAAAACTGCTCTAACCAAGGCTCCAGTTCTGGCTTTGCCTTGTTTTGATTGTGTATTCACAGTGCAGACAGATGCATCAGCCACGGGCATGGGAGCCGTGCTTTCACAAAACGGACACCCCATTGCTTTTTTCAGTAAACAGTTCTACCCCAAATTACAACACTCCTCTGCTTATATCCAAGAATTATGCGCCATCACAAGTGCTGTGCAAAAGTGGAGGCAGTACCTGTTGGGTAATCACTTTATCATACTTACCGACCAACAATCCTAAGGGAGTTAACATCACAAACGGTTCTCACCCCTGCTCAAGAGCCTTATCTGATCAAGCTTCTGGGCTTTGATTTTGACATTCATTACAGGCCAGGCAGAACTAACATTGTTGTTGATGCTCTTTCCAGGGTCGAATCACCAGCAGCGACCCCTATTGACACTACATTATCACATTCGAAGTAAAAAAATTCATTGGTATTCAATCAGGATTTTATGTCACTTAAAAACAATTCACTGGTATTCAATATGGATTTTCAAGATTTTTTAAAGAGTCTATTAAAATCCATTGGTATTCATTTGAGATTTTCTACAGCTTAAAAACAATCCTTTGGTATTCAAAAAATATAAGGATTTTAAAGGATTGTTATGTGAGAGAGATTTTGAAGGACTTTCTAGTGTTATCTATAAATACCAAATTCATAAAACAATCCCATCCAAACCCACCGGATTTTGCAGGATTGTTTGAAGTGATTTTTCGAGAATTTTCAAGTGAGTTTTTCATTTTTTTTCCTATGTTCCCGTCTTCTCCATTTTTTCTCTACTAATAATACTGCACTATTATTCATTGCTCATATATAATATTGTAGTACTGTTCTCATTTCATTCCCCTATTTTGTGAAACTCCGATATGTAAATGATAGTGTCATTGATTTGTTCTATTTTTCTGTTCGTTCTCTTTAATTGACTTGCTTTATTTTATTCTATGTAGTTGAATTTGTTCCTTTATATAACACAAAAAAAATGCTTGAAATTTCAACTTTTAAGTGGTATTTTTTTTATAACACACGTCAAGAAAATAAAAAGGTGAAAGATGAAATTGATATCATAATCTCTACAATATATATATATATATA